AACGTTTTCAATTACCAATTTTCATTTTGGGAACGTATTTTCAGCCGGGTTCGTCTTGATTTAATTAGCAGCATATTTTGATGCTAAGGTTTGTTCAATGTGCTCCTTTAGCCGCATGGGTTTGTGTTGCAGCGTCTCTCTGCACTTCAGGTCTGAATAAAACCAGAGAATGAGGCGCTGGAGGGAAGTTTTCTGTTTCCCGCTCTCCATGGCAACAAGCGCGATGTGGAGCATCTTGAAATTCCCAATGCGAGAGCAGCAAACAGCCTGAAGGTTTCCTGTTTACAGAGTGTTTCTCACACAAAAACACACATTTGGTAAAATGCATGATTTGGGCTTATCCAGTTTTTATTTTCCCGTTAGCGATAAGAGGCCTTGCATAGAGTTTGTTAACAGTGAGTGCTCAATGTTATATGCGACAAAAGCGCTTTATGAACGAAACGTTTTATACAATACAAAACTTTTTTTGCATTTAGCGTCAAAATATTCTACAGTAATATAAGCCCCTCCGTCCAGGCCAGCACAGCCGCGCTCCCATCGCAGGTTTCGGACGCTCCCTAAAGCTCGTGACCGAGGGTCCGGACCCCACAACGGACCACTTTCTCAGCTCCCCCCCCCCTCTGGTGAACAAAACCCTCTTTGAGCTCCTTCTGCCGGGCAGCGACTCACTGTGCGCTTGTTTTCCTCACGCCGTCCTTCACAGTGAGTGACCTGGATGTCAATGTGCAGCCAGTGGGAAGCTCGCCCCAAATGGGCTTGAATTACAATATGCTGAGAGGTGTCGTGGACTTTTTGCCCAATGAGGCCAAAAGGGAGATGTGTACAAAGGATGTGAGGCCTTCACAGAGCGACATTTGAACCCCCTCCATGGGGGCGACCATGATAATCATGGATGGCATTTGCCTTGCTGGGCCGATTCCTTTCAAAAAGCTCTGCCATCTGAGCCCACCTCAGTACCTCCAAAAATCCATTTAGTTCAACATTGTTATGCTATAAAATCAGAGCGCCAGGGTGAAACATTAAAAAAACATTATTTCCTTGTTATTTTATTTTTATTTTGTTATTATTAGGTCCGGAGGCTTTATGTGAGTTGTGTGCCTGAACCGACCTGCGGTCCATTGTTGTGAATACGATGAGAGGCGATTCGTTGATATTTGGCCACTCAGCGATGCGTCTGTTTGATTTTCCGTGACTCGCGCTCCGGATTAAACTGATGAGAATGTGTTGGTCCGACGTCCCCGCGACCGTAACTCAACAATACAACTCAATAATAAAGAAAGGCCACTTTCGGACAGACGTGGATGGATGTCGGCATTTAACCTGGAGGCGTTAATTCTATTCCAGACGTGTAACGAGATCATCTCGGTCCTCTAATGATGGAAAAGCTCGATGGATGAACGCGGCCATCAGTCATTGTGTATGAAAAACAGCCTCATGACAAAGGATGAATGTTGGAAACAGACATCAGCTTACAGGATTAGTTTATATTTCACAGTTTGAAGCTTTTCAGGAAACGGGTGATTGGAGCAAATATCTTCTTTCTTTTCAAATAAACATCTGCTTTTGCACCATCGCCATGGTGACTTCATCTTTACGCCACGCCAAATGAAGTCATTTCCTCTCCGCGCAGTCCAGCTTCCTGCAATCACAGCCGATCAGTGAGTGTTTCCACGAGTCTGTTTGGAGCCTTTCTAGCAGGAATAGGTGGTGCGTCCTGCAGGTGGAGCTTTTGATGATGGCGCTCACAGGCTGCTCAGTTCTGACAGCAGGGGAGTGTCTGGATAGAAACACACCGTGAGACGTAAACATTTACCAAGAGAAATATGGATGCAGGAAGGCCTCGGGCGTCTGACAGAAGTTATTATCTCCTCGGGTCTTATTCCGAATCAAAGCAGCGAGAAGCTTTCAGGGCCTGACGTTTAATCAGTGTCGAGTTCCTTTTGGTTAAATATTTGTACATCAAATCCAATAACTGTGACGGCTCCGTCTGATTCCAGCCCCATCCGAAGCCAAACCGCCTCCCAGCGGATTTAGTTTTGCTCCTCAAGCTGCTGGCCGGCGTGTCCGAGCCCCCGAGGCCGCCACCGGTTTCCCTCGTCACTGTGTGAAGGAGGCCGAGCTGAAAAGGAGACAAAGACTGAGTTTAGTTTCAGTCGCTCGAGGCCGTGATGAGCAAATATAGATCCTCAGTCGACTGACACCGGGACCTCTCACCGCTGCTCCACATCTGTAAGGCAATACCCATACCGAACATCTGTCAGTGCACGTCATCGTCCTTTAGGAAAGCCGAGGACGTGGAATCAGCATCTCACTCATCAAACCGAATTCATGACTCTCACTCATCAAAGTGTGGCAGGAGAAATAAAAGATGAAGGTAACCGTGAGCTAAACCCGCAGAGCTTCACTTCGTATTCATGGATGAAGAAGAATTTACATTAAGGCCTTAATTATACTAACAGCATTACAGCGTATTAATATGTAATCCTCGTCGTTAAATCCTCCACCTGTGCTCCTGCGAGTCGGGTACGTCCATCGTCTTACAGGGGGGGGGGCACTTCCCCTTCAGCACACTGATTTCACTTTTGTGATGTTTGTGATGCAATAAAAGGCGGCCTGGTTGATGTGTGTTTATGTCTGAATCGGCCGGTTGGGGGCTCTGCTGCAAGGTGGGGGGGGGAGGGGGGCGGTATTGATTTAAAACACTGCGAATCTGTTCCATTGTAAATATTTAAACTACTGGCTTCTTTCTTTTTGTTAAAGTGAAACTTCAACACAAGACCACGCTCACGTGTTACCGGAAGTTACCGCTGTTTTCCTCCAGCAAGCAGGAGCTCGGTTGCCGTGGCAACTAATCCCCGCTAAGAAACAGTCGCGCTCTCCGTCGCTTTGATTTTCCCGACAGTGTATCGTGACATCCGATAATAGTTAGAGAGCTGCTGCTGTTTGGGATCTTAATCCTTGTCGTAATATATAAACTATAACCTCACGACCTACGACCTGTTTAACGTCCTATCACGTGCTATCACGTCCTATTACATCCTATCACGTCCTATCACGTGCTATCACGTCCTATCACATCCTATCACGTCCTATCACGTCCTATCACGTCCTATCACATGCTATCACATGCTATCACATGCTATCACGTCCTATCACATGCTATCACATGCTATCACGTCCTATCACGTGCTATCACGTGCTATCACGTCCTATTACATCCTATCACGTGCTATCACGTCCTATCACATCCTATCACGTCCTATCACGTCCTATCACGTCCTATCACATGCTATCACATGCTATCACATGCTATCACGTCCTATCACATGCTATCACATGCTATCACGTCCTATCACGTGCTATCACGTGCTATCACGTCCTATCACGTCCTATCACATGCTATCACGTCCTATCACATGCTATCACATGCTATCACGTCCTATCACGTCCTCTCACGTCCTATCACATGCTATCACGTGCTATCACGTCCTCTCACGTCCTCTCACGTCCTATCACGTCCTATCACGTGCTATCACGTCCTCTCACGTCCTCTCACGTCCTATCACGTCCTATCACGTCCTATCACGTGCTATCACATCCTATCACGTGCTATCACGTCCTATCACGTCCTCTCACGTCCTATCACGTGCTATCACGTCCTATCACGTCCTATCACGTCCTATCACGTCCTATCACGTGCTATCACGTCCTATCACATGCTATCACATGCTATCACATGCTATCACATCCTATCACGTGCTATCACGTCCTATCACGTCCTATCACGTCCTATCACATCCTATCACGTGCTATCACGTGCTATCACGTCCTATCACGTGCTATCACGTGCTATCACGTCCTATCACATGCTATCACATCCTATCACGTCCTATCCTGTGCTATCACGTCCTATCACGTCCTATCACGTGCTATCACGTGCTATCACGTCCTATCACGTGCTATCACGTGCTATCACATCCTCTCACGTCCTCTCACGTCCTCTCACGTCCTATCACGTCCTCTCTCGTCCTATCACGTCCTATCACATGCTATCACGTCCTATCACGGCCGGGACAGTGGAAAGTGTCTCAAAGAGTTCTGACGCCCAAACGGTCCCCGGCACCCCCCCCCCCCCAGAGCTCTGCCTGGCTGCATGCAGCCCCACGTCAGTGCGTGAGTTGATTATTATTTCCGCCTTGCCCTACTTCCACGGCTCATTAAACGGGATGTTGTGTTGGGGCTGGAAACAGAGAGAGCCGACGTTGGCCGGAGAGAAGCAGTGAGCGTGTGTTTATCCGCGTGAATCTCGGGGAGATTCTGGCGAGCGGCCTGGAGAACGAGCGCGTGTTTCCCGCTCCCACTCCACTTCGTATGTTTGTCCGTGTCTTTCGGAGTCGTCGTCCTCTGGAGGAAAAAGCTGTGGCGAAGATCTGTGGATTTCCTCCCACAGCATCTGGAGTCTTCAAACATTGCTGTGAAATATTAAACACCTAACCCCTCCCGTGGAGGTGATAATTAGCCTAATATCGCGGCTCACAGTCACTAACGGGGAATTCACACCTTTTTTTTGTTGCAGTCTTCAAAGAATCACAGATCTGCTGCAACAAATCAAAATGAGAACGGATTGCAGGGGGGGGGGGGGGGGGGGGGGGAGTTCGAAATGTGCAAAAGCAAATGTGTTTTAAAGAAACTGCCATGGCAACGAGATTGTGCCATTAAACATAATGAGGAAATGTTCTCCCGTGCAGCTCATCCTTTTAATCTTCAGTTAGAACTCAATGCTTCGAAACCCAAACAGATCCCAGAGACGGCGTCCACTTATTCGCCTTCCTGCCGGGAGCAGGACGCTAAAATCAAGGCAACCGCAGTAAACACCTACGCTCAATGTGGCCGCTGTATGACATGGAGGCACCTGGTCGCGGTTGGTGTGTCCTCCCTCAGCGGACGAATTGAGGCGCTTTGAGGCGTCCTGTTGTTGACCGCTCTCCGTGTCTCTGCAGTTGGGGGGATGCGGCATCCTGGGAGTCGGGGTCTGGCTCTCGGTGACCCAGGGAAACTTCGCCACCCTGTCGTCGTCCCTCCCCTCCCTGTCGGCGGCCAACCTGCTCATCGCCGTGGGGACCGTGACCATGGTGATCGGCTGCCTGGGCTGCGTGGGGGCCGTCAAGGAGAGCCGCCCCCTGCTGCTCGCGGTGAGTGACCTCCCGGTGTCTCCTTCGCTGGCCGTCTGCTTCTGTTCTTGTTTTACTGCAGTTCGAGCAAAGAGCTCCTCCTCACAGAAAACGCTCATGCAACTATTTTCGTGATTGTGAGATTTCTTTGTACAGACATGACAGCTACAAAGTAACGCATTACTGTAATTCCACTACTTTTAGCGGTAACGAGCATGTAACAAGGAATTTAAAAAAATAAATTAACGCAGTTACAATTACTGAAATTGAAATGAGTTCGTTACTCTCGTTACTCTCTTTAGTGAGGGGAGGGCCGGCAAATAGTAAGTAAATAGCTGCATGTCAGCACTAAATAGTTGTGGCCACCAAACGTTGTGCGTCACAGGATAGTCGGCGTGCGTGCACGTAAACAGCAAGAGCGCAGGATGCTGCAGGCGCCGCTCCACGCAAACAACCGCGGCTCCACTTTACACGGACTGCAGTGCGGCCGATGAGCCGGGCAGGAGATGAATAGATCGATCGCTCGCTGTGTTGAAGATGAAGCATCCTGTCAACCGTCGAGTCAGTTGCCTTCAGGCAAACGCCTGAAACTGTTATTTTGCATTAAGTCAAGTATTAAAAAGGACTTTTGTACTATTGCTTGATTTGAAGGCCTGTTGCCCTAAAAAATATGTTTATTGTGTTTGACTGTTTAGTACTATTTATATTCATTACATTTAAAAAGACATAAAAGTACTTAAAAGTTACTTTCCAGAGTAACTAATTACTTTTGATACACAGTAACTGGTAAGTAATTACCTTAAAGAAGTAACTAGTAACTGTAACTAAATACTCATTTTCAGTAACTTGCCCAACACTGGAAACGACGCAGGCGGAGTTTTCTTTTGGGGTCGATTGACGAGCCAAATTAATTAACATTATCAAGCTGCAGCTGTTTCAAATCATAGGAAATAATCTAAAATGCCCCCTTAAGCTTAAGTTAAAACAGTGTAATCCTGCACAAACGATCCACAAGAGGACTCACAACCCGAGAGGTGCCGAGCGGCTCCTGAGTTTATGCTCCCTCTCTGTAAATGGATCCTCATCTGATCCCATCTTATCTCCATAGCACCTTTTGCCAGTTATGTTGATTGGATGACACGACCGTGGCCACATCGGCGTCTGTTTTTATGCATCGTTAATTATGCAAAATGTTTGCCCGATTTCATTAAGAGACATCGTTTCCCTAATTTAATTAAACCTAAAGTGAAAAGGAGAAAACACAGCAATGACGAGATAATACAAATATAATCACTGTTATGTAGCAAGGAACTTTAGACCGGAGACAAACACGGCAGCTCGTATTATATTTGCTTTATTGTGTAGAAGCTATATTTTCATTACTAATCACTAATATAAATAGCTGCTGCTTGTTTGCACGGCGGTTTACAGCTATATTTGACTTATTATTATGCTACATATTAATGTGATACATATGGATATTCTCCCTCATATGCACACTAAGTGACATGTAACACAACGAAAAATACGGCGCTTGACATTTAATGTTTTCCTACACATTCGTTTGAATTATTCCTGATGAGGTTTGAACCTCGGATCGTTGTACGATTAATAATAGTTCTGATAAACAAACAGGCTCTTGTGTTCAAATTCAAAGCAATGGGGGGTAACCCTAATTTATCAGTGGAGATTATCAGCTTTTTGGGAATGAGAGCGACTCATCAGCATCGCCTGCGATATTCTCCCCACAGCGCCGAGTTTACTAAAAGAATCTTCTCCTTAAATCTCCCATCCCGTTCCCCGTATAAGCTTCAGTCTTCACTCAGTACCGCAGCTGTTTATTGACTGAGTTACTTAGAGAAATGTTGGTTTGCAATATTAATGTTTAAACTCAAGAACAAACAAACTCAAAAAAAGGCCCCAAAGACTAATTTCCAAGCATAAGAGTATAAGAGACGAAAGTCACCAAGTAACAATAGATTTGCAACCCGGTGGAAAAGTGTAGATCATTTTCTGCAATTACAATGTGAGGTGATCTTTTCTCAGTCCCACTGTATCCATCTGCCCATCAGATGAACATCTGCATCACCAAACATCGTCTCCTGTCACGATAAAGGATGAAGGCGCTGCCGTCTCAATTTGTGGTGTTCGTTTGTCTCGTCCAAACCGTCTTCGATCTTTGGACTGAATATGTAGAGAATTTCAACAGGGTGGATGTTACGCAAGGTTTCAGGATGAAGGGAACAGACAGACGAAAGGTAAAGAAAAAGCTTTTACTTGTCAGGGCATTTATAACAATAAGCGGAGCCACGGTGGAGCAGCTCGTTTAGCGGCTGCCAAGCGATCTGTTCAGTATTCTGGAGCCATTTCAAACAGTGAGGCCTTCATTGGTCACCTGGACAAAAAACATCAGGAAAAAGACATCGTATCATTTGAGTACAATGCGGTCATGACATTCAACCCAAATTGGTTACAATATCCCATATCTTGTCCTTTCAAGTTAGAAATGAAAGCCTTTTGAAGACGCGCAACTTCTCCAAAGTTCAATTTTATGGGTGATTAAAGTCATGTTCCACCCCAGTGGGTTCCGGCAGTTATTGCGAGTGCAGGTCAAAGGCTACGGGGGAGGAGAGGTGGGTCTGTGGCCCAATCAGCCCACAAATCACCCAGAGAGGTGAGGTCACTGGTGGAAATGTAAGCTCCCCCATGCTTGGCTCGCAGAGACAAAGCCTGTAAAAAACGATTAGATGGGGAGGACGTTTCTATCGCCTCGAGGGCTACTCACAGACACTCAGGGCTGGAAAGATCCCCGTAGAGGTATCGATTTCGGAGGGTTCTGATGGACTGTGTGCCTGACACGACTCACCTCGCGAGTCAATGCACAAAGCGCCTCCGAAGCGCTCCCGCTGCGTGGAAATCACAGCGTGGACGAACGCGAAAGGAATCGATCCCCGCGCCTGGACTTTGATTACAGCTCTCGTCCCGAGGCCTCGCCGTGACATCGATACCTGCTCTAAACAGGGACATCAGCACCGCCGGCCCAACCAGCCTCATAATGCGTGCATTTAGTCTTCCGTGGCCTCTAAAAGAGTAAATATCCCAATTCACTAGTGACTAATTGCAGCCCCATGAACCAATAACAACAAGCGTCAAGCATGGAAGCGCTGGAAGAAAAGCCCGGTCTGCTCCCAGATAGCCAGCACGTCTTGCACGTTTCCACCCCTTCAGTCAGATGCAACCCAGCTGTGGCTCATTAACTCTCACAGTACAAAAACTGCAATGGAACAGAAAAGCCGCAGGCCACCGGTCCAAAGGCGACAGGGATTTAGAGGTCTTGAAGGGCCACTTTACAGAGTTTTATCTGGCTGGTGAAAGACTGACGTGATAACACACACCATTACACGTGTCGGGGCTATCTGTATCCCGCAGGCCGGCTCTGTGACCACTAGGCTTCCCTGCTCACACTCTTTTTTTGTGTTATCTGCTGCTCAGAGATATAAAAAAAGAATTTTTGCAATGCTCTGATTGAGACTACACGATCGTCGGGGAAGGATTCCAGAGTTGAAAGCAAGATACAAAAAGTGGTGCGTGAGGGTGTATGAATAGGAATGTCACACAATACAGTGCACAGGAGTGGGAAGCGCGTTCACGCAACTATACTGTAGCTAAGGACGCATTGTACTGCAGTGCTTTAGGTCCTACTTTACATACAAGCGCTTCTGTGTTGCAGCAGCGTTTCAACGTGGGGTGCCCCAGGGCTCCGTGCTGGGTCCAGCTCTGTTTCCTTTCACATGCTCCCTGTTGGCCTCTTTGTAGACAAGCATAATGTCAGTTTGCTCAGAAACATTTCAAGGGTTCAACCGACGCTCGCCTCGCTCATCCACTGTATAAGTATTGTAATAAATACAGTTTCTCTGTGTTCTTTGGCATCAGAAAACAAATCCTTCTGCCGCCTCCATCTCGTCCAAAGCTCCGCTGCTTGGATTTCACTCTGCATTTTACACTACAACCACCACATGCAAAGCCCAGAGAGGACTTGTCCCAAAGATCTAGCAGAACATCCATCAGCCACCAGCCACTAGTTTATTATTCGATTTTAAGCCAGTGGTTCTCAATCTTACAGACTTTTACAGCTTTGTTTACATGATGCTGACGTTACTTTACCGTGAAGCTATTTACTGGTAATTACAGTAATCTTCTCGAATAAAAAACTTTGCATTTCAAAAACAGCCAAATCTCAGTTCACAAAAGCTTCACATCTTTCTAACCTACAGAAAAGCCTTCTTCTCTGATCGGCCATAAATCTTCCCGATAGGTCTGCTGCTGGAAGCTGCAAACGCAGAAACGTATTTCAGTTTGAATGATGACATTTGCAGGGGGAACATATCGAGCGTGTTTGGGTCGGAGGCTTTGTTTATAATTATTTATCACGGCGAGCACAAAACCAACACAGCGTCTTTGGGTGTGAGCCGAGATGCTCTGCAGCCACGTTTGTTTGCACAAACATTACTTTAAGGACTAAAGCAGATGTAAATGTATTTTCACCGCCTGGCGCATCGCTGTCACATAAACACGAGTCATTACTCTCGTTAGGCAACGGGCCTTTAAAGTTGGAATAAATGATGCTGCGTGTGTTTATCATCTCAATTAAACCATTTCGTTTTCCTCAAAGACCGAGTTGTTTCGAACAAACCGTTTGCATTTGTCGAAAGGATTAACTTGAAGTGACACTCAATCAGCACACTTTCACTGTTTGTATAACCGGCACGTCGACGCACTTCACAGTTGGGACTTTTCCCGCTGATTCCGTCGAGGTGTTTGATGAAAAGATCAAGCAAGATCGAACGATCTTTAACAACAACCGGACAAAGACAACAACGGAACTTTATTTTGAAATTGACAGTAAACAATATCAATATTGAGATATTGTCCCGGCCTTCTCCACCTCTCCCTCCACCTAATCAGTTCATTTTGTACACCTGCTGCTCACACTCACCCATCCCCCCACCCACTCTCCTCGGTATATAAACCCCACCCACTCCCCTCGGTATATAAACCCCACCCACTCCCCTCGGTATATAAACCCCACCCACTCCCCTCGGTATATAAACCCCACCCACTCCCCTCGGTATATAAACCCCACTCACTCCCCTCGGTATTTAAACCCCACTCACTCCCCTCGGTATTTAAACCCCACCCACTCCCCTCGGTATTTGAACCCCACCCACTCCCCTCAGTGCTTAAACCCCACCCACTCCCCTCAGTATTTAAACCCCACCCACTCCCCTCGGTATTTAAACCCCACCCACTCCCCTCGGTATATAAACCCCACTCACTCCCCTCGGTATTTAAACCCCACTCACTCCCCTCGGTATTTAAACCCCACCCACTCCCCTCGGTATTTGAACCCCACCCACTCCCCTCAGTGCTTAAACCCCACCCACTCCCCTCAGTATTTAAACCCCACCCACTCCCCTCGGTATTTAAACCCCACCCACTCCCCTCGGTATATAAACCCCACCCACTCCCCTCGGTATTTAAACCCCACCCACTCCCCTCAGTATTTAAACCCCACCCACTCCCCTCGGTATTTAAACCCCACCCACTCCCTCAGTATTTAAACCCCACCCACTCCCCTCGGTATATAAACCCCACCCACTCCCCTCGGTATTTAAACCCCACCCACTCGCTCGCTCGCTGCCAGATCGTCCTCTGCGTTTATGCGAGACCTGCCAGCACTTTCCTTTGGACCGATTCCCCGTTGCCGACCCTGCCTGTCTTGGACTCCCTCGTCTTCTGTCCCGGTACTTCAGTCTTCTGTCCCCGACCACGTCTTTGCCCAGTGACTCTGAAAACTGTTGGTTTGCTTTGGGGATAATAAAATACTCCGTTTGGAACTACAACAACCGTGTGTTGTATTGGATCTGAGTCCGTACCTCACTGATCGATACGCTAATAACACACAAAGTGCTGACAGCTTTCCATGGTTACAGTTTACCAACCAAATATCAATTCATCTTCTTTCTTTGACACAATCGTGAGGAATTCATGAGTTTAGACCAAAAAATAAGTGTTTTTTATAAATTCTATGGGAAATAACTACTTTCTTGTTTATTCCCTCTGTAAACATAAATGTTTATTCACTGTAAACATTATAGTCTCAATCTTCTTGAATACAGCATGATGTTCATTTGGTAAATTGTGGTCCGTTTATAGAGACAAACAAACCATTTAGGGCGGGGCTTACTGTGATTGACAGGTAGTAAGTGTGGTCAAGATGAATCTTGAAAGCCAAGAAAGGTGTAAGAGCCCGAAGTGTGTATATTGTTTAAATTGGACTTTCTCATATTGAAGACATTATATTGGATATGTATGTTGGCATGACGCCCCCTTTGTTTTCTTTCTTATATTGCAGTTTTTCCACCGTGTGACAGAATGTGTTTTTGGTATGTGTGTTTTTTTTAACTCTCTTGTTGCTGAAATAAACACCAATCGAAAAGAAAATAAAGATCTCCTGTCACTCGCGTCAACAAAATGGACTCAGTGTGTCTGCAGCTCAATTGCGGCTTAGTAATTTTCGCGACCGAAGGAACGCCGCGACAATAGGAAATACCACAAAATAGCAAATAATAAGCTCAGCTAGTGAGTCTGTTTGGTTCAGAAGATTACAGCAATTCACAGTTTCGCGAACCTCAAAAGAAAATAGAATGATCTCAGACTGTATATTCATAGTCTCTCCTCACGATATATATATAATATAACAGTATCTCATCCAATGCCTAGTCCTACCCCCCCGATAGCCACACTGCAGGAGTCCATCTGCGCTCTCCTCCACTGATTCTTCAGTCTGACAGTCAGTCACTGAGACGTATGGACGCTGGTCCTCAAGTCGCTTTGGTCATTTCTTTATTTTTTATTACTTTTCCCTTTGGTTTGCTCCTCTTGAGCGTGAGAGCTTCCTTCCCTCCTCGCCTCTTCACTCTCCTTATCTCCCCCGTGTTCGTTTCCTCCTCACTGATGCACGGCGTGCTAAACCAATTCTCTTCCCTTTGTGTCTCCGCAGTTCTTCATCCTCCTCCTGCTCATCTTCTTCCTGGAGATTTTGGCCATCGTGCTTTTTCTTCATCTACCAAGACGACGTAAGGCTCCTAACCGCTTTCCCGTGGGTGTCTGTGGCGTGTCGTTTAAGTTCAGAGTTTGTTCAGCGTGTCGTCGCTTTGAAAAAGCCACTTACAGAGTTCTATTTGTGCAGAGGTCAAATTTCAGTGAGAACATACATAATTCACGTCGGCTCGGGAGATGCAACCGAAATATCCCGTCCTGATGTTGTGTAGGTTATTTCATAACAACAACAATGTTAATCTCTGGTAATTCAGTAATAATAATCCAAGAAATAAGCATGTAGCCTTTATTTGTAGCCGTTAATTTGAATTAAACACAGTATTTCCCCCTTTAAAAGGGAATCTAACGTGCAAAAAGAAGTTTCAAGTGAAATGAGACAACAAAATAATTGAGTATTCCACAAATTTAAATCCCACAAAATATTTTGTCAAAACCCGGTAATCGAAGCATGAATACAGCCACAGATTGTGTGTCACACAAACATTACATTCATACACAACAGGACTCAAACTTCCTGTTCGAGCTCCTCAAATCCGCCACGGAGAAACCTTTGCCCCGTCCGTTAGGGACTCGAACCCGGCGTCCGGGGAGCTCGTCGGCGATGCTTTAGTAAAACTCGAGGTTCTTCCTGAGATGTTTCTTTGTCGCCGGGCGCTCGCGCGTCTTCCCGCGTCCGTTCCCTCGTTAATGAAGCTCCCTACTCTGTGAGTAAACAAGTCAGGCGTTAATGACGCAGTGGAGAGTGTGCGATGTTGCATCCTGGTAGTAATTAACGCCGCTATCCTGAAACAGCCTTTGTCCTTGGGGTCGTTTTACCCCGGGCAGAAAATAAACGTGATTAAACCGGTTACCCGGCTTTGTGTGTGCGTCTTTCGTCGAGCAACCTAAACACCCGCTGGATGCAGCGGTGAGGATTTGTTGGGATCCGCAGTCTGCGTCACACAAGATGTGTTTCTTGTAACGAGGAGCGAGTCTCGTGTAGCTGTTTTTAATCGTGTTGTTGATTAACTTAAATTACAGGCAAGATGACAAGAAGCAAACAGCAAAGCAATGACTGCTGTGCGCTTCGGGTTCGTCCTCGTCAATTAGAAACACACACACGCGTCTATTTGGTCTGAGAAGATTTCAGCATTTTTTAATCGAGGAAAAACGGATTTCTCTTTCACATTCACATTATTTAATCCCAGTACAGGAGTCCGTTATCCTGCAATGAGCCGGAGTGACACAAAAGGATGAATAAAACAGGCAGGTGCTGTGATTTAATTGGCCGTGCATTCGACTGGACGTCCCCTCGAGGCGCTTAATGCCACACCAGTTAGGAAAGTGGATCTGCAACATGAATCTCTGGCGATTCCAGACGCCTTGCGTTACATTATTCAAGTGTTGGTACCCAGGAGTTCCTCCCTGTAGGCCGATGCGAGGCTAACCCGCACTAATGCCTTTGTGCATTCCGGTAAATAACAGCCTGCTTTGATATTCCCGGTGCCTCTGGGGGGCCTGGTTGTGTTTGTGTTGACGTATGAGTGCGTGGACGTGTTGGTCTCTGGCGGTCCTCGGGGGGAGCAGCGCGACTCTTCGACTCTTCTATTGGAACGCACCTCGTCCTTGAACTTTGACCCTCTTTGCTAAGCAAAATGAGAAGCGACGCCGTTGCACATCCTCCTGCAGGTGGTAAAACACGCTGCGCTTGGGTGAGCGAGTCCTGCCTGCTGCACGCTGCCCCCCCCCCCCCGTCGAGGGGTCATCGCTCACATGACGCCATGAAGCTCCGGCCGGCCTTTGAAGAGCAGCACAAAGATGCCAGTGATGCAGAGATTACCTGAGAATGGACAAATCTCACGACGGTGATGACAACATTCTCTTTGTATTCCGCTAACAATGCGCCGGCTTCATACATCACGGCCCCTCGCTCCCTGCAGCATCAGTCAGGGACATTATCTCCTTTTCATGGTGTCATTATCGGAGATTCTGCCTCATTCTTTGGTGCTTTGTATTATTCTGCACCCACACCGCAAAACAATTTGGCTATTTTCTTAGTTCAGTTATTCAAGTTGTTCAAACGTCATCTTGACAGACTGTTTAGGAGGAACATCGCTTTTATAACTTATAACTTTTTTTGCAAAATAAAAACCTTAATATCATCTGCGGGGAATTTTCTTTCACTTACAACAAGCTTCTTTCCATGCACACAAATATTTTTCGCCTCTTTCTGAAGAGATCCTTATCAGTGTTACTTTGTTGTTGTTTTTTATCCAATGTGTGTGTGTGTGTGTAGATAGAGTTTATCTCTGATTATCAGGACCTGCTGCTTTTTCCTCCCCTCCGTTGCCACGGTAACCGCCCTGAAAGCGGGTCCTGCAGCTGCCGAGTTAAAAAGGTTCCAGTGTGCAGCGGGTGCACGTTGGTCGCGCTCGCTGGTCCGGCTCCAACGCGCCCCCGACCGCCCCGCCGCTTGTTTCCCTCTGTCGGCCTCTGACGACCGAGGCCATGCGAGGTGAAATGAAAATGAGCCTGGCGTCAGCGGCGCCGCGTTGAGAATTGTTGATGTATGGGTGTTTTTCGTGCCGCCACGCCGCGGGTTTTACAACCTTGTCGGCTCGGCTTTATTATCACCTCAAGGGGAAAATCAGTCCGCAGGAGAAAGATAAACAGAGCCACGACGGACCGGCAGACCGCCCGCCATCTTCTGTCATTAGTCCTCAGGGAATAACAGTTATTACTTGTGTTATTATGCTTTCAGTTAGTAGAAGTGAGAGCAGGCCGGCGGTGAAAAGGGGTATTTTCTGCAAAGAAGCAGCCAAACTTCTTTGTGTTAGTATTTTTCCTTAAGTAAAGTTGTGTTTGTGGTGTTGATAAGCGCTCGCTGTTGAGTATTGGATTCGGTTGCTAATCAAGCGTCCTGCCGGGAAGCAGAAAAGGTCTCGGATTGAGCGTCGGAGTGGAATCTCTCAACAGGCACAGCACGAGTGATGGAAATGATCGGCCTCCTTCTCCCAGCTTCCCCCCCGAGGTGCTTTGAGCTGTTAAAGAACCGTATTGATAGGACCTGGAGTCAGTTATATGAAGTCAGATCAATAGGCCTTTACGCGGCGGTACTTTTACCCCAAGAAACAATATGAAAACGTGCTTGTGGCTCGGGAGGAACATCAGTCGAGCAGAAACATCTGGATCAGACTCCGGTGGGACCGCCGAGCTCGATGCCGACGGAGGCCTCCGAGCGGAAAACGATTTCCCGTTTTGACGTTGAAAGCTTCAAATTAAAAGAGCGAATTCTGCCCCCGAGCCGCCGCGCGCCGTCACGCTGTGCACCTTTCCCGTCATGGCGGGGGCTTTTTGTTGCACCGACTTCACCTCCACTGGCTCCGTCCACCTCCACTGGCTCCGTTCACCTGCACTGGCTCCGTCCATCTCCACTGGCTCCGTCCACCTCCACTGGCTCCGTTCCGTCTCTACTGGCTCCGTTCACCTGCACTGGCTCCGTCCACCTCCACTGGCTCCGTCCGTCCACCTGCACTGGCTCCGTCCACCTCCACTGGCTCGCTCCGTCCACCTCCACTGGCTCGCTCCGTCCACCTCCATTGGCTCCGTTCACCTGCACTGGCTCCGTCCACCTGCACTGGCTCCGTCCACCTCCACTGGCTCCGTCCACCTGCACTGGCTCCGTCCGTCCACCTGCACTGGCTCCGTCCACCTCCACTGGCTCGCTCCGTCCACCTCCACTGGCTCGCTCCGTCCACCTCCATTGGCTCCGTTCACCTGCACTGGCTCCGTCCACCTGCACTGGCTCCGTCCACCTCCACTGGCTCGCTCCGTTCACCTCCACTGGCTCGCTCCGTCCACCTCCACTGGCTCGCTCCGTCCACCTGCACTGGCTCCGTCCTCTGACACAACGACACAAGGTGTGACGGCTGGTTTCAGGGTGAGAAAAGGCCACACTGGGGGTGTAATATGTGATAAAACAACAGTTCCCTTCACACTCTCAATCAGGGAGGGGGAGGGTGGGGGGGTCAGAAACGCCGACCTCGGGATTTCATTTCGTTAGTTCATATCCGGCGCGTGACGGAGGCGGTTGGAGACGAAGGCCCCGGCGCTCTGAACCAGGACTCGTTCCCTCCGGCGGCGCCTTTTGCAACCATAAAGAAATAAATTAAAGAATGCCGGCTATTAAAAAGCAGTTCCACTTTATTTCCACCAGCTCCACGACGCTTCTCTCCCTGGCAGCACACGAGCCATTCGTCACACGCCGGAATGTATCCGCGAGCAGAGAGGAGACGTTTTTATGCGTCCTTCTCTAATGTTAACCGTTATTACGTATTTATGGACTTTTATCTATTATAGATATCCGGAGCAGAAGTGCAGCAGCAAACACGTGAGTGAAGGCGGCGTTTTGTTGGACGAGCGTCTTCGTGTCCTCTGCCGACGGGGAACCCTGACGGTGCGACGCTTCATCTTGACAGCTCCACCTTCGTCATCATCATCATCATCATCACCGTCAGTGCCTCAGGCCTGAGAAGCGTTCAGTCGGCGTGGACTTTTCTGTACTCGTGTTCTGCTCTTTTTCCTTATTCGCTACTTCTTTTTTTTTTAATTCCGTGTTTATACTCAGATGAGTATAAAATATGTAGTTTAATTGTGCCGCTGATTGACTGATCCTTTCCCAAACTATTAACTGCACCAACAAAATACACAAATTAAGAACAAAATGACATGAGAGAGATTTGTATTTTGAATAATTATAATCAAACTTTGGTTTAATTTAAGCATGAAAGAGAAGAGGAGGAGAAGCGGCGTTCACCTTAATGGAGGCTGTCAGATCGATCGGCGGCGCACGCCGGTCGCTGAGTGTTAATCAGGAGCTGATTAGAGACGGAAGACGGAAGGTGTAATTGATTTGCCCCAGTCGGGTTTTTCTAATTGATTTGCCCGATCCGAGGACTCTGATTAGTCAGTAAGAAGAGGAGCGGCGCCCGATTCAAGCCCTGATTTGTTGCTGCGCCCCGGGGGGGGGGGGGGGGGGGGAATCTCAATTCGAGAACAGAGAGCGCCCCTCGGTCCCCCGTCCGCTACCCGAGGGGCGCTTTCTCTGTTCCCCCGCCCCCGTTTTTCCAAAGGGGGGGCGCCCCTCCTCCCCCTGGAAACAACTCCTTAATTGGGGAGGTTGCGGGCTCCGGGGCCCCTGAAGGTCATCGGGCTCCCTGCTGGCGGAGGGATGGGATGGAAGCGGGCAGCCCAAATGGGACGTTTGGACGCACTGGGAAAAGCACCGGGACCAAATCACATGCGTATGAAAGACAGCTTTTTAAATCTGAGCTCCGCCGCCGCTGTGATTGAATTCCAAACCTTCCGCGCTGCAATTTGAAGTTCGCGATCAATAACGTTGAAAGCAGAGAAACGCCGTCTGCGGTTTGGCGTCTGAGAGCAACGCATCTCCTGCCGGGAGCCGTTCTTCCTCATGGTTTCCTCCCCTCTGACATGTCTTCAATCCTAATGTCCTCTCTGCTTACTTCACTGTACCTGTTCGCCCGTCGTGAACTGTGTGCAGCCGCATCACGGCTCCTGCTGCACGCTCTGTTTGTTCATCTGAAACCAAGGTGCTGCATCTCACATAGTAACCAGTGGCCATTAATCATCACTCCAAAACATCTGAATACAGCAGGTGAACAAGTAGAGAACAAGCGGCTTTTACGAGGCATCAGGCGGAGATCTTCTATTCAACAGCTCGGGTTAAAGCGTCACACCCGAAATCCTAATGGAGGCACATCGGTGAAGGATCATGGCCTCTATTTCCTTCCACGTCGCTCCTCCTGCAACTGAATATGTTCAGTGGCTGGAATGAAGGAGAAGAGCAGCTCGATAACGTGACGGGCAACTTGAAAGTTAACATCTGTGCTGATGGAGCTGCTGTGTCTCAGCGTCTGGTTTCGCCTGCTGCCACATTTGGACAAAAGGAGCGTTTGGAAGAAATGTGTCGGTATAAATGAGGAAACACCCGGATTTTAAATCAGTGGAGCTCGGAAACCGGAGTAAAGATTTTTGAATTAGAATCCAAAGAGGTAAAATTAACTAATGAATAATGCTGAAATAAAAGCTTCTAATAATTATAAAGATAAATCGATAAATCAAAATCAATTAACAGCCTCTCTACGTTTTGCTTTTAGAGTTCTGGCAGCGTTTAAACGCCTCACCGCGGGCGTTTGTTGTTTCAATTATTCCTGAAGTAAACAAACTTAAAGTGTAAACTCTGTGCCCTTCGTCGTCCGCTGGCTCGTCCTCGCCGCTCGTCTTCTTGAATCCACCCGTCCGTCTCCTCTCTCTCTCTCTCTCTCTCTCATCTCTCCCCGGATCCCCGTCTGGTAAATAATTGATGGTCCATCTCTGACTCGCCTGGTGTAGTTAAAGGGCGACTGAAGTCCCGAGGACAACATCAATACGGCTGCTGGGAGGCCGGGCCGCGTCCTCGCTCGCCCGCCTCCTGCCGCCGCCCCCGCCGCCGCTCTTCGCACAACGACCTACTTGGAACCGAAATGAAAAGAGGACTTCACCCGGTCCACTCGAATGGGGGATCAGAGCTCCCGGATTCCCGCGTCGGATGCATCGGATTGATGACGTCACGCAGCCGCTTGCAGCATCTCATTGTAGCGAGAAATCACAATCCGTGTCATTCCTCTCGTTGTTCGGGATTCTCTTTCGTCTTCGTCTCTCTGAGGCGTCCCCATTTTCTTTCACGTGTTTACAGGCACCTGTATGTACCAGAAGGGGCGTCGACCAAAGAAAGGCGGGAGGAAAGTACCTCGCCATTGTTGTGGGCTTTGAAGTCTCTTTGATGTTTCCCGTGGCAACGGCGAGAATCGACAAAGTGTTCAAAGTTCTCAATGTGTAAGATGGAGAAGTAGGCCGAGGCAGCGGGGGGGGGGGCGCGTCTCGATGTCCGTCCCAAACTGTCAGAATGCCCGACCGTTCCACATCTACAAAGAAGATTCTTGCATTCGGGGATTTGAGTCGCCAAACGCCGGCGGGTCTATTGAGCAACATTTCCAGTGTTTGTTGTTGTCTTGTGACGGTGTGAAACTGTCGACAAGGTCTGTTGTGTTAAACATGTTCCAACTGTTACATCAGAGAAGCTGCGTGTCCTCGATTCGGCGACTCTGAGGCCTCATCTCTCAACCAATACGATCACTGTCATCCGAGGGTCTCTGCTGGGATTGACCGTCTAAAATGTGCAAACAGGGCGGAGCCTGCGGGCGCCGTTTGCTCCTCGCCGGTTGTGTTTGTCTCCTCCTCCGTCCTGTTGGTTTTGCGGGGTGAAGCGAGCGGACCTTTTTGTTCGACGTGGCGTCTTGTTTGTTCTGCACGGAGCCCCTCGGGTGCACAGCGGCTCGGCTTCCTGCCGATGGATTCACTCCGTTTAAAGGTGTTCTTTACCCACAAGATGAGCCGGTTTCTCTCGCAGGACTTCTGTGAAAGGCCTGCAGAGGAAGACTGAAGTAAACACGGTGCGCAAGAAGAAGAAGAACTCTGCATTTAACCCGTCCCACATATTGGGAGCAGTGTACTGCCGTTAAGGCGCCTGCAGAGCAGGTAGTGTCTTTGTTCAGGGACATTTCGACACCAGACCAAATGGAGCAGCCGGGGTTCGAACCAACCACCCTGCGGTTTCTGGCGCACCCTCTCTACTCCATGCACCACGGTCGCCTCTGCGGTGGTCTTCTCTCAGGGTTGACCTCAGAGTCTATCCGGCTCCGCAGTGGTGGAGAAGCTCCGGTTCAGAACCGGTTCAAACTGGACTCACGTGGCCTCTCAGGCAACGCAACGGCTGGCAAACAGAAAGACTCCGTGACCGACTCGGGACCCGTTGAACCTCGTCAAACAACGCGAACACCAGGCTGCTGGGAGGTTTCCGCAGGTCGTTGACCTCTGGTCTTTGTAATGTCTTCTGTTTCGTACTGTGTTCATGTTCTTTATTGCTGAGACAAAGACCCGATGGGATAAAAACACCCATTTTATTAGTTTCTACTCCATTCCGTGAGTGTTTGAACCGGAGGTCAAACACCGAACACTCCACCGCGTAACGACCAAAACTGAGATTAAAAACCATAACTCGTCGCTCGGCTTTCCACGGGCAATCTACACGTCCAAATAACAATAAGTGACGGACGCCGTGTGTCTCTGCCTTCCTGTCTCCTCAGATCGACCACTACGCCCAGAGGGATCTGAAGAAGGGCCTCCAGCTGTTCGGCTCGGAGGGCAACGTGGGCCTGACTAACGCCTGGATGATCGTACAAACCGATGTGAGATGTCGCAGGTTTCCTTCCAAAATAAGCCTCCGTCCTTGCGGGGGACAACTCGGGTTTAGGCAACTAAACGAAAAGATTGAGAAGTACTTAGTTAGGTTTAGGAGATGATCAGAACAACAATTTGTTTCAAAATAAAAGTCCTTGAGCCTCCAAACATGTGTTAATATGAGGCTCCACACTACCGGCTGCCAATGGTGGATTTAAATTTACAAATATCAATTAAATTAAATTTCAGGCCTTATGAAAGACCGTTTTGATTATCTATTGTGACACTTTATTATTAGAGACGTTTCACTATTTGTACCACTGCGATTCCATCACGTTAAAAGGGCTGTTTGGGTTTATCTTCCTGCATTTTGTGTAAAGAAATGTGGTAAAACTCTGCGATCCTTCCTGTTGTTACTGGGATGTGGAGAAAAAATGAACATAAAAATATGACAGTAAAGAAGTGTGAGGAAGACTCAACCGTAACAAACGCTTGAAGCTTTAGGGTTAAAATACTGTCAGATAGATCAACAAAAACATCACAGACTCTCTACGGTGTAATCCCGCTTAGATCGGTTTCTTTTCTATTATTCATCAATATTATCTTAGATTAGATTAGTTGGTAATGCGAGATACGGGACGTAGGGCTGCAGAGGACAGATGGGAGACATCCAGTGACAGATTGGAGACGTCGGGGCGCTCTGGACCGATGTCGAGCCTCTTAGTTCTGTTCCATTAGAGCAGTAAACGCTGAGCGGGTGTCTGGTTTCCTCGAGGCAAACTGTGGCAGGATGCCTCCTCGTTAGGAAAGACGATGACGGCGGAGAAACGCATCGCTGTGCAGATAATCCACGCCAGCGTGTGCGACGCGAGGAACCGCCGCGTGATTGAGCCATCGCTTGCAGGAGGCGTGAACGTGCCTCGCTGTGCACGAGGCTCCGTGCAGTCCGGCTGAGGTGAAGTCCGGCTCTTTTTCTGTCACGGTTTCGTCCTTCGGACGTGCTGAGTCACTGTGCAACGTCCACCCTGCATGTTATTAACGGATGCTCTGGGGATAGAAGAGGATCTGCATACAAGTAGTAAAAAAAAAAAAGCAGCATGTGGTAAATCAGGAAAGGGCAGCTGGCTGTAAACTTTTCAAGGTGAAATAGTTTGAACATTATGACTCAAAGTTCATGCTTCAGATGCTTTTTGAATGGCTTTGTTAGCCTTACTTCTTATGAATTGCAAACATGATCCATTGTTTAAGCGGGCGAGCGAGTTTCAGATTAACACACAATCCCTGATTCTGTGCACGGAGCGACTCGGCATTATTCCCACACGGGAATAAGGTCCACTGAATGAACAAAACATCGGGGGCGCCTTATCTTTTTCACCCAAGCACACTGATGAATTGAATTGTGTTGGAAGCCATGATCCCTTATCAAAAATCCATAGCAATCACAAAGATAAAAAGAAGCCTGCGCGTTGGAAAATGATTTTAGGCCTTTAATACAAATGAGATGTGTATTGTACAAAAAGGGGCTCGATATCTGACAGATCAAAGGTTTCGTATGAATCATTCGCTCGGCGGATGTTGTTCCTCAGCAGGTAAATCGTTCTTGGTTTCCGATTCTTAGTGTTGGGACGGACTCTCTTGACCCGTCTTTTCTCCCCGGTGTAGTTCCGATGCTGCGGAGTGACCAACCACACGGACTGGTTCGAGGTGTACAACACCTCCCGTGTGCCGGACTCCTGCTGCCTGGAGTACAGCGACAACTGTGGCCTGGACAACCCGGGGACGTGGTGGACAGCAGTAAGTAACCTACAAAAAAAAACCAAAGTAGTCCTCCAGAAGGTGCTATGGAGACGGAAACTCAATGTTTGCTTAAACACCTTTCCCAGCGATTCGCAAATCCTCCCTCGGCAACCGTAACTAGGCACAGCAGGCCTGGGAAGCGGTGTGCATGTGGCTTGAGGAGAGAAAGTCGGTATTTTAAGTTTGTCAAGAGTTTGGCACTTCTGAAAAATGAAGCTTATGCTTAGTTATCTTAAACATGCATTCTCTGCAGTGACCACCAGGGGGCGACTCCTCTGGTCCCATAGAAATCTATGAGAATATGACTCTACTTCTCTCTTATTCCTTCAGTAAACATGAGTTTATGGTCTCAGTCTCTAGTTTCAAGTCTTCGTCAATACAGCATGGTGTTTATTTAGTGAATTATTGTCTATTTGGAGTCCAACAGACCATAAAGTATAGCTTAGTGGGCTTAGGGCGGGGCTACCTGCTCATTGGCAGGTCATTTACCTGAGCATTAAAAGGCACCTTTGAGCCCCTCCTCCACGGCCCAAATACAACCGCTCCTGTTTACTTGGCCAACAAAAAGATGGCGGCGATGACATCCTATTTTTACAAATGGTTTATGATTTTTAATAATGTTAAAAGCAGATTGAGTGGGATTTTTTCCTCCCAATCATCACTTATGAGCAGAGATCTGGGAGTCAGCACTTCAACTTTAACCCTCCGGTTAAAGTTGTACTGTATTTAAAGGAGACCATTTTTCATATTGAATTTATAAAACCTCAACCAACTAATTCAAGTCAATTGTCTGTACTGGCGAGGTTCTACATGACCTGAATGAGGGAGTTCAAGTGATGTCCAATATCATCTCAGGTACAGATTAAAAAAAACTAGCGCTGGGCACATTTAATTTAAATGGAAATAATAAGTGAATTCCTCATTTATCGCAAATCATCCCAGTAACATAATTAATATGCATACCTGCTTTTCTTTCCAAACAATGAGTCATTTCTAAATTCCAATAACCAGTTATCTTTTGAAAAACAACTTGGCCCACAAATTGTCCAATTAGGAAAATCTAACCTTAACTGTGTGGCGAGCAAACAGAGGACTGGGAGATTTTTATTCTAAATGACAGATATTGAATTAATCACTTCTGTCCAGACGGACTTGTCTCCTGGGTCCACCCATGTTTGGTAATGAATAATCAGTGTTTTTAATTATTAGCGCCTGCTGTGCACAACGTTGTTTGCATTGCAATAAAAACTGCAGAAAGAAACAATTCAACGAAAAACTTTACGACGACAAACAAACAGCTGAGGTTTTCGGGGTCTGAACCTCTCAACGTTTTCATCACTCAAAGGCAGCACAGACTTTGCATCCCGACCTGGTTTGAAGTAATAGTCGAAGCCTCGCAGCTGCCAAACCACACCAGAGAAGAAAAGGGTCGGCAATGAGTTTACATTTAATAGTGTCATGTGGAAAATCTGCCCGGGGTTGTATTATTCCGAGGATGCGCAGAGAATTGCATCACTCTAAAGGGAAAAAATTAAAAAGCTACAACATTGTTGTCTTGACAAATAGGTAACAGGTGTGATTATAACGGGAAAGTGTGCAACAAGATGAATCCGCACATCGTTTGGCAAGATTGGAAGCCGTCTCACGGGATCTAATGCATCGACCCGTTCATTGATGACTTGAATTGCTCCGCCTACTGGTGACCAAACGCTGCCGCACGGGAATCTTTCACCGCGGTGAAGCCACCTCATTCTCATTGAAGCAACCTCCCGTTTTCTGACAGCCTTCCCATGAACGTGTCATGAACGCAATTAGTCCCTCGTCCCTCAGAACCAGCTAGAGCTGTAAATCCGTCATTCATACGTGAAGTGATGGATTACACATAAGTCCTAGAGAAGTTGTGTTTTTACTGAACTGCATCTCTCCTTCCTGCCTACAGAACATCCTTGAATATTTCAGTCTGGTTTCAGAGACCTTGCTCCATTTAACAGAATCCGCCATATTGACTAACAATCTCCTCTTGGCAGCTGATGCATCACATTGTGACCTTTCACTGGCCCTGTGTCCCTTGGACACAGCAGAGCTCACTATTCGTATGCAGGAGCATGTGGTAGGTGACCTGATGCAGCCTTCGACTTATCTATCAGATGGAACCACCAAGTTCTCACTTTAAATGCCATCACAAACGTTTTCACTACTTTTTTTTAACCTGTAGTTTTTGTCACAGATACTAGAATCAAGATGGCAAACTATTCCTTTCAGTCTCTACACCTTCTGTGCTCACCTTTCACAACTCAAGCCCTGGAATTGTTTTGCAATTATTCTTCACGTCCGTAGTGTGTAACGGACTTACTCAGCTTTTTCTTATGGGATACCGCAGGGTTCGATTTTAGGTCCCCTCCAATTCAGTTAGATGCAATTGTAAGGCTGATTTTAGCTACAGCTGTTCCTTTCCTAAAAGTATCTGGGAAAAGTATTTGTCTTTTTATGCCCGACGACATCACGTGACAGAAAATAGCTTGTTGGACCAACATAAGCTCTCACTCCATGCATCTTGCTATTTATGGGCACTGTACGTCTCCATGAGCACGATGATGAATCTTTCTGATTACACACAGGAATTAATGCTTCAATCAACTATATTTAGCATCAACCGTAATTGAAAAACCTTATTAAGAAAACTTATCTTAATATCACTTATCATGTGACTTGGATAAAAAATAAGAGCCAAAATGAAAAAACACAAAAACAGCAGGCACATTCAACAGCTGTTACTTAGCTCCTGCAAAAGCCATTATCTTGGTAATGTTTAGATGATCAGCAGAAGAGATTAAAGGGACGTCCCAGTAAGACTTGACAAGTTGTTTTGAAGTCACCCCACACTGAGGCCACTTAATCATGAGGATTCAGTCTATTTCCTTGATCCAGCAGCCTCTAATCCACAATTAGAGATGATGAACAGTAATCACAATGTTTCATTGGATGTTAGACTCAATACAACAAAATGCTAAAGTGAACCATTTATAAAATCTCATTGAGCCGAGCGGATGGTGACGTGGAAATGGTCAGTTAATAAAGCTCATCAATAAATGTCACACCTTGATAAGTGATTTCATCTTTAAAACCAGATTGAAAGTGCCTCACCGCCAAGGTCCATTTACTCGCTGTTCTGGGACTTTCTGCCACGTGATCTTCATCAGCAGACAGTGTCCATTAGAAATGTCGTCACTAAAATTATATCAAATCAATTTAATTGAATATAATTTAATTAATTTCAAGTGGCAATTGTGCACAACGTAGAGAGAAGACGGCAGATACAAACGGTCCACGCGTCTCCACCTCCACGGCAGAGAAGTGAAGTGAAAATATCCCAAATACATTTGGAGCTTCAGTCTGAAGAGTAGCGGGTGAAGGCGAGGTGGAGCCGTGGTACCAAGGTCCGAACCCGTACGACCGCCCAAACCAATCGTGTGCAGAGCACGGAGACTCACAGCTGTAAATGGTGATGTCGCACAACTCTGTAAGCATCAAATGACATAATGGATTTACTGACCATGAGCTCTTTCTGGACTCAACTGGAGTTTGGCATTTAGGAACACGAGAGGTTTGAACTGAGTGTAAGCAAAGAGGATTCTGCCATTTTAAGGCAATTATCTTTGAACTAAATGAACTAAAAACACACGGTAAATGATTTATGGTCTGTTTGACTCTAAATGGACCATATTTTACTAAATGAACGTCATGGTGTATTGAAGAGGACTTGAAACTAGAGACTGTGACCATAAAGTCATGTTTACAATGTTTACTGAGGGAATAAATCAAGAGAGAAGTCATTCTCTCATAGACGTCTATGGGACCAGAGGAGTCGCCCCCTGCTGGTCACTAGAGATAATGCAGATTTAAAACGCTTCAGCATTAGTCACTTTCAAACATTGAGGGGTTCACAACCTACAGTGCAGCCGGCCACCATGGATGATTGATTGAAACGCGGCGCCATCGTGGTCACAGGTGTAGACTTAGCAGACAAAAAAACAGGTACCTTAATTGTTAGCAGCTTGATACAATTGGTTTTAAATTTTGGAAAGAAACGGCTCAACCTTTTTCAGTACTTTTCTATCACTTGTCCTGAAAGACACTTTGCAGAAAGCTTTGAAATAGGCCGGACTTCACGGAGGTCTCTGCACTCCAGCGGCTTTTTACGATTAATATGAGATTCATTCAGGTGGTTCTGTATTTATGTTGTTTGCCCTTAGATGAACTAATCAATTAGTGTCGTTCACAAGCAAAACAGTTGTCATTGTCAATAACATCTTCAGACCTTTAATTGCAATGACATTCATATTTCTGTGGTGCATTTCGAATATCCGTACCAGAAGTAATATAATTCATAATTTCTTGTCAGTTTGAAATTAATTTGTACTCCAGACATTTTCTTTATTGAGTCGGCGAAGGCTTTCAAGGCTTTCTGTATTGTTGAAATATTAAGTTCTTTTTATAGATAAAAATCCCCCCAAGACGGTGTTCATCTTTTTCAGAGAGTTCGAATGAAGGCTGATCTCTCAGCCGAGTGATGCTGAACAGTGGAAAAGATATTTTGTCCTCACGCTCTCATTGAGGACACACACCAACACAACACAACGCTCTGAAGACACACCAGCAGCACTCACTCAATGCTTCAAGGTTTCGTCCGTACGTGGGTTGTGGAAAGATCTACACATGATTAAATGAAAAATGACAACATTTGTTGACCTTCAACAGAAAAGACTGCTGTTTCCAACCAAAAGATCCTTTTAAAGAGCAACTTGAGGCCGTTTTTTTATCTTGAATACAAAATAAATGCTTTCAAATCCAGGCACACTTGGCCCATAAACACTTAACACAGGATGCCGATCGATTGATCGAGTAGAGGAGCACACAGGAAGAGATGAGGGCTTCATTGAAGGTACGAGGCTCGTCCCGGTGAACGAAGAGCAGGTGGAGCTTGTCCCGGGGAACAAGGAGCAGGTGGAGCTCGTCCCAGGTGGAGCTCGTCCCGGGGAACAAGGAGCAGGTGGAGTTCGTCCCGGTGAACGAGGAGCAGGTGGAGCTCGTCCCAGGTGGAGCTCGTCCCGGTGAACGCGTCCCAGGTGGAGCTCGTCCCGGTGAATGAGGAGCAGGTGGAGCTCGTCTCAGGTGGAGCTTGTCCCGGGGGAAACGAGGAGCAGGTGGAGCTCGTCTCGGGGGTAACGAGGAGCAGGTGGAGCTCGTCTCGGGAGAAGGAGGAGCAGGTGGAGCTCGTCCCGGGAGAAGGAGGAGCAGGTGGAGCTCGTCCCAGGTGGAACTCGTCCCGGTGAACGAAGTGCAGGTGGAGCTCGTCCCGGTGAACGCGTCCCAGGTGGAGCTCGTCCCGGGGGTAACGAGGAGCAGGTGGAGCTCGTCCCGGTGAACGAGGAGCAGGTGGAGCTCGTCCCGGTGAACGAGGAGCAGGTGGAGCTCGTCCCGGTGAACGAGGAGCAGGTGGAGCTCGTCCCGGGGGAACGAGGAGCAGGTGGAGCTTGTCCCGGGGGAACGAGGAGCAGGTGGAGAGCGCTGAATGGGTTTGGAATGCGCTTTGCAGCGAGAGGCCAAAGGGGACGTGACTTTCCTAATGCACTTCTAATGTAAATCAAGAGGGACCGAATCCGCTCTTCGTTCTGGACAGGAATAACATTCCACACATTAAGTCAGCAGACCGGAATCTTGTCTCCTACAAAGTCTCATTCCGTACAACCACTGCACTCAGTCGAGCGTCTGCAACAACCACAGCTCCACCGTGGGATGGAGCTTTAACTTTCCCTCAAGTAAGATCTTCCTGTGACTCCTACCGAGCAGCTCTCTGAAGCAAAGCAAGCCTCCTCATTATAAAACACCCATTAAGAGCGTCACGCTCCTTCTTGACCTTTTGTAACGGCCGGTGTCACAAAATGATTTAAGCCCAATTAAAACCCCCCATTGAGGTTTTTTGAGTAGAGCCTCCCACACGGAGGAGGAAGAGGAGGACGGATTCCTCTTCAGGCCGAGGAGGGTTCACTTGTGACGAACGAATACGAATGCATTTGTCTTCAGGCTGCAGCGGTTTCATAAATAACACTGAAGCCGGGCAAAAAATATTTTTGGGCCCACTGCATGATTTTCCACATCGATCCGCCACAGAATTACTTTGCCTTGTGCGAAAGGAAAACACGTCTCCGGCTTCCCTCGGTGGTTCCGCCGGCGGTAAAATGTAGGTGAATATTTAAAAAAAAGAGAAGAAGAAGATGGCACAACGGGAAAGGCATGACTGCAGAGCTGTGGACTGATGTCTTTCCTCCGGAGGGACATAATGAAAAGCACAGTTTGGCATGTGTATAAAAAGAGGAAGTGAAAGAGCCACGTGCCGCCTGGCAAATGCCGCTCTCATCACTTTGTAAAGTCACCTGTCGACTGCTCTTTGAAAGCCCGTTTCTTTTCTTCTCCTTTTTATTACTTCTGACGATGACCCACAAAGGCATCCGCAGTATTTTCCCCTATCAATAAATCCTGCAAACGTGAACGTGCTCGTTGTGTCTCCACAGCCGTGCTACGAGCGCGTGAAGGACTGGCTGAACGAGAACCTGGTGGCCCTCTGGATCTTCGCTCTGTGCACGGCGCTCACACAGGTAATTGCGGCGTTTAAGTTGCTCTTTCTTGTTTTTTCTTCCTCTTTCAGCCGTCGTTAACCCTCCGGTGTTTGATATCCGCCGCCTCGGGCGGAGGCTCTCGCCTCGTGATAAACAGCGTCGGGGCTTTCGGCGGCCTTTCCAACAAAGAGCCCGAGCGCTCTTGAGGATTTCTCTGGACAGCGGGAGCCCGAATAAGCCTCTTGTGTTCTCTCTGTGCGCCACGGAGGAGCTTCCTCCCTAGAAAGCGTTTGATCTGCGTCCCAGGCAAGTGGCGACGTGATGCGCTTACACAAGTTGCGAGGTGGGGGGGGGGGATGGTGGGGTGACGCTCTCGAAAACATCAATCACGCGACGCTTCCGCGCCGCGGGCGGCTTTTACTCAGGCCGCTTTTTTCTGAAAGCTGTACGTGCAGCCGGATGAGAACCGGGGAGATGATGTAATCGCATCACGGACATGATGTCTGCCAGCTGAGTGACAATCATACAATTATGCCGAAGGACACAAATTAAAGCGTGTTTCGTGTAGCTTTCCTCCCGACACATTTTGAATGATTATTATTATTGAGTTCGAGGCATTAAAGCGCTTAGTCGCTGCCGGTCGGGCAGGAAAAAGTAGCTCATTTAACATTTAACGCGCTTTATGGTCCGTCTGACTAATAGAGCCGCGGTGCAGAATGCTTTAGGGTGGGGCTTCCTCCTGATTGACAGGCTGCGAGTCGAAGCCTTCGAAACGCCGAGAAGTCCACTTTGTCCACTTTGTCCACTCAGACTGTAGAAGTCTGTGTTGCGGATCCTCTTGTTGTTACTGTCAATGAAACAAACTGAGCGGCGTCCTTTTGGTTCCCGTCTATTCCCCTGTGACTTTGCCCGCCGTGGTTGGACTTTAACGGCGACTTTCGTCCCCCCCGTGTTGGTGCAGGTCCTGGGCCTGGTCTTCTCCATGACGATGTTCTGCCAGGCGGTGAAAGCAGAGACTTTCTACGCGTAGCCATCGACCTCTGTGGCCTTCAGCACACTGGGATTGTTTCTCCTCAGAGGATATGGACACCACCACCCCCACCCACACCACCACCACCACCACCCCCACCCCCACAGACGCTCCTTCCCTTCGTCCTCTCCGTGACATTCACGCCCTCCGGATGTCATCACATCTTCTGCTGGCTGTCACCGAGCACAGTGTGTAACACCTGAGTTGCTTTCCTTTATGTTTTGCTCTGTGTCAAAAAAAAAGAAGCTAATTTGTTTGTGACATATTTCATGAAGCAGTATTATGAACGTGTATCAGAAAAAAAGAAAAGAAATGTAACACAATTTTTTTTTTAATGTGTTTTGTTCTAAATTATTTCCTGTGTTTTCCAAACGAGAGGTGCAGTCGGGGGCCGTGTGGAGTGCTGCATGTCTCCTGCCGTGTATTAAATGTTTTGGCTCGACTAAACCTCGTCGCCGTGTCGTTCCTCAACAGGAAGCGCCGACGGGGTTTTACTGCGCGATCCCGCTTATTTATTCTTGATGACGAAACAGGAGGGAACGGAGGACATTTGCCCGGAATCGGTGTGTTAGTTGGCTGATGTATTTCCTCTGCAGAGACTTCGCCAAAGCGATTAGAATATTTAGCGCAGCACCGAGGTAATCGGGCCACCGATTAGATGAGTAGAATGAGGGGAAGCCGCTGAGGGACTGTCGAACATGTGGCTCTTTTTACTGGGCGGATTTATATGGTATCAATAGACAAATGAACAAGCAGCAGGATCCTCCCCCGTGGACCCCCCCCAATGTCGAGATGACTTTTTGCACCAAAAGAAACCCCTAAAAAACATGGAAGCAGTGAAACACAAATATCATGGACCATGCTGAGGGAGCGGAAGAAGCGACACGTGTTGCTGGAATTTGGTGGGAGCAGAAGATCTTTTATTTATTCATGCATGAATATTTAAAATCTGAATAATGAATACTGCTTTTTAAATACATTTAAGTGACAGCGGCAAGTGACGATTGAATTTTAAACAAGGTTTTAGAGACTTTTCAGCGCTATCCTTTATTTCACACCCTGCTTACGCGTCCGTGATGCTGTTCTGTTTGTGGGAATCACCCAGAAATCTCTGCTTCGCTGCCCCAATATCCGCTCTTGTGCTTTTTCGCTGTTGAATAAAAGCATTTGTTTGCCTTTAATAACAATTTAATGTTACTTGCATATCTCCCATATTCGTGGACTGTAGTTTCCCTTTTTAACTTTTAAAAGACGTTGTGTTATTTGTGTTATTCTTTACAGAGATAATATTTGTTGCTATTATGATGCTCTTAATCTCATATTCTGCACCTTTAACGAAGACAGCGAAGACACGTATAGATGTGGAAACACGACGCTTGGTATAATGTGATGAGGCGTGTGGGGGTTTGACGCTTTGTGGGGTCACAGTTTGATTCTTTGACCTGCAGCAGTAATATCAGGCTTCTATTGACAGTAAATCCCACATGAGCAGTCGAACCAAATACCACCAACTTATCACACATTTATTTAATATACTCACGTGTGAGCGTGTTTCATTCACTGCAGTGGTTCTTATTAAGAAATAAGTCAACAGGCCTTGAATGCAGTTAGAGTCCCAAAAGGCTTCAACGTGAAAATGTCCGTCCACAATCTCCAGTGTCTTCACAGGCCTTCAGAGTAGAACCACTGGGTCCAGATGTGCAAAAAACACCGCTATGGAGACGCAAAACTAGGTCAGAGCCCCAAAACCACCACAAAGAGACACACAGTAACTACTAAGAGACACAAAACAACCACAAAGAGACACGCAGCAACTACAAAGAGACACAAAACAACCACAAAGAGACACGCAGTAACTACAGAGAGACACAAAACCAGCACAAAGAGACACACAGTAACTACTAACAAACACAAGCTGACTGATTAGTGACATTCTGCAGTCCAGTTCTCTCAGTCTGGTGTCCTTCTGTTAAATATTTGGGATGGGGGGTTTATATTCTTTGCTCAGGGGCCAATTGACAGGAACTCCACAGCCATCAAAGACAAGTGATAGATGAAAAGTGACAACTGTGGGCTGCGATCACTTCATAAAAATGTAGAAGGCTGCAAACCCCTCACAGGTTAACTCAATTAGTCGGGATATGTGGTTACTGAAACACAGCCCCCCGTCCCCCCCGCTGCCTCTCCATTTCATCTCGCCCCTCGGGTTCCCTCCCCCTTCCTCCGATGCATTATTCATGGCCATGTTCACAGGCTTTCTCCCCATCTTGTACTTGATCAATAAAACATACCTGTGTGTTTGTGTGCCCCCCCCCCCCCCCCTCTCTCTCTCTCGGACAGCGAGGCGGTGAAAACGAACACCTTTCAGGTCGCGTCTGGTCGGCTCTGATTGGGGAAGTGAAATGAGCTCAGTCGCTCTCGGGGAAGGTGTGTTTTCTTGAAAATGGATATTTCCTCTTTTTGTGTGTTTGGCTGAGAAAAGGAAGCGAAGCCCAGAATATCTGAGGATGTATAACGTCAGGATGAGCTGGGCTCTTCTCAGTGGAGTTAAAGGATCCTTCTTCACAGCACGACATCACGGGTCAGCTGGAGGGCAAACACGAGCCCCCCCAGTGTGGAGGGCTAACGTTACACCCTAAAAACACACATTACATAATAACGCAGGAATAATAACAATAGTCATGAAGCTGTTGTTCTTCTTTCTCCTCAGACGTCCCTGTGCGTTTCCATGGTTACAAAAACACATGAGGAACACAAACTCACAGAAACACTTAGAAATAAAAGGTTAAAACATATTCAAATCATGACGTATGTGCAACATTAACGTGTGTATATTTTGTGTTACACTTTTGCCTCGATGACGGGCGAGTGGATGCGTCACCGGAGCTGCTTCTAATTATTTCCACAGGTTTTTTGAAATGTATTCTTTTCTTCAAGCCTCTTCCTCCCCCGACAATAGGAGAATTCATGGGTTGATGAAAAATAAAAAAAAACTATTGAAAAAAAAAAAAAAGGTTTCTACAGGTTTTTCCCAATTAGGGAGAAGAGATGCAATTTTTCTCCTTTTAAAAAAAAAATCAAGTGTCTGGACAGCGTCCCTCTCTGGGGGGGGGGGCGATTTCTTTAAGACCTCTTAGTGACTCGGCGACATCGCTTTTCCATTGATTCAAACTCCCCTCAAACCTTCCCTCTAGAGACACCGGAGGAAAGCTGAATGCATTGGTGGAGTGTTGGATTGTTTTAATGGGTTTTGGGCCATTAGAGTTTCATTTAAGACCTGACTGAAATATTCCAACAACAACCAGATGGATTCAAGCTACGTTTTTGCACCAAATTAAGTTTGAAGATCCATGCAGGGCTTATAAACCTTCTGACCAAACTTCTGCTTTTTTTGTGCAACATTTGCCCGCTGTGAGCATGTTAGCGTGTTAGCATTGAGCCTGAACAGCCTCGCCGAGCGGCTGCAGACTCTTGTGGACTCGTTTCCAGTCTTTGCAGTGAACTTAGTGGATTCAGTTGGGCCATATTTTACATTCTCCCCTCAGACAAAGAGACACAGATGCTGCATCCTGAGCTCAGCGTTGTGTCGATAACAATCACACTTTTTAATCCCCTTACTGCCGTTAAACAACAAAAGGAAATGGCTGCGATTGTCCCGCCGCAACATGATTATGTGTTTGGACCAGCAGATTATAATCGGAACACGGCCATCAGAGGGGACGCTGTGTTATCAGACTCTCGCCTCCAGCCCGCCTGAAAGAATATGAAAAGAAACAAACAAACCGCCCAATGTAGGGCACCCAGATTTTAATATCTCGTGCCGCGGGCCTCTAAAGCCATCGCACTCTACGTCCAAGTGATTAGAGGCGCTGCGTTACCAACACAACAGGGGGGGAAATGATCTCCACCAGTTTCCCATCAAACGTGGTCTTCACCGTGGATGAGATTTCATGGAAGCGCGGAGGAACGGAGAGAACTCCGATTTTTTATTTATTTTTTTGTCGGACCTTGGGGTGGGCTTCAAAGCTTAAAATGAGCCAAAGCGAGGTACGGTGGCGGGTTATTGGGCCATGCAGTCCTCAAGTGAACATCCAGACGCTACCAACACGATGGCAAGCTGATCGATCCGTCAATCAAACCATAAATAAGAAGCTTCTCTACTTCTAGTGGCGGTGAAACGGGTCATTTTGTGATTTAAAAAAAAATAAAAAGAGGAGCTCAGAGCTCGTGTCCGTCTGGCTAAGCTAAGAGACACGAAGGTTGAGAACGCAGCATTACAAGGGGACGTCCGGTGATATTTGTACATCTTTCTTATTGTCAACAAACTCAAAACACCCACTCACAAAAAATTGATCCTGTGAGTTTTCCTCTGAGGGGGCTGCCTAGTAGAAACAGATCAATGAGCCACACACACACACACACACACACACACACACACACACACACACCTCCCTTTGTTTAGCTGCGAGTCATTTAGACAAAATTGGTAAAATAGTCAAAAATACAAATACTTTTTTTTTTTTAATCAATGCAGCAAAGCGAAATTCACCACCCAAAAGGTCCAAAACAAAAAAACACACCTCTCTCACACCAAAGACTGAAAATACCAAACGGTCGGCCATCGGTTGGCGGGGTGACGTTTTGAAGCCTCCGGCCTGCTACGTTGGCCGTGGCCACCTTGTGTACGTGGGGAGCCGTGAGTGGCACGAGGGGGCGGAGCCACAGCGAACGTGAGAGTGAAAACACACCGCGAGCGGTTTGAAGCTGTGTGCGGACGCTTAACCTGCCAATCGGCGCGTAGCCCCGCCCTCGAGCATCCCGTCATTCGCTTCATATCTGGGCTCATGCCTGGTTTAAAGTTTAAATACTTTATTTCAGGCTCAATCAAAATGAATCATATCTCATTGTAACCATACACCCCCCCCCCCCCCCCCCTCGGGATGAATAAAACAAACACCACTCTATTGCTACCGTGCAGCTAGTTATCGGTGCACGTTAAATAAGTGTTTGACCTTTTCAGTAAGTCCTCCATTAGGGGCCTAACTCCAATAAGCCGGCTCTCACCCAAAGAAAGAAGATAATCAGCAGCTTAATGGATTTTTCTTTTTCTCGTTTAATCTTGATTGGTTCATGTTGGGGAGACACTTCAGACTTGAACCACCGTTTTCATGACCTACGATCCTTCAGAGCAACTAAATAACAACGGAATTAGTGATGATGGTCCACGTTGTGAGTAACGAGCTGTCGGTCAGGTAGTTCTGGGACCACCGTGTCGGGATGCTTTTAAGAAAATAGAATCTTATAGAAATCCATAACTGACTTTTAAAAAAATGCAACAGATGAAGAAGGGGGAGTTTCTTTATGCTGCAGTTTGGTTCTTCATACTCGGGCGCTCGGGTTCATGCAAACAATCCGCTGTGAGCGAGGAATCACGAGCCGAACGAGGGCGAGGAGGAGGAGGAGGAGGAGAAGAGCCCCGGGGGGGCTGGCGAGGGACGTCCACTTCCACTCTGCAGTGAAGGATGTAGTTCTGCTGTGCTGCTGCGCCAGCGTCTCCGCCTGCAGGACCTCCGATACCTTGTGTTTAGTGTGCGTACGCACACGCACGCACGCTGGTTCAATTTGCTCAACGGCGTCTGCGTCGGCCGTGTGGAAGAAACGATTATGTTCTTTCTTTGCCAATAATTAAAAACCCCCAAAAATCAAACATCAAAGCCGGAATGCAAATCCTGGTTATTTCTCGTTAGACAGTAATCAGTTTCCCAAAAGGCAGAGATGAGACTCGGATGACTCACTGGGCTACGAGGTCACGCTGCATTGACTCCGTGTACAATACTAAAGCAAACTTTATTAGAACAAAGGAAACATCACAAAGACAAACAGCTGTGGATCTATCGTGTGGCTCCCGGGGGGGGGGGTCGGGGGGTGGGGGGTGTCACTGCGGATTTCAGAGTCGTCACATGTGGAGGATATTCTGACGCACAAACACCCCCCGAGATGGCGGGGGGGGCGTCTATCGCCACGGTATTCCACACGGACTCAATCACACACGCAAAACACACTCAGACCAGCTTCGGTCTCTGTTGTCCCACCAGGCGGCTGTGAGGGGGGAGAGGTGTGGGGGGGGTGGGGGGGGGGGCTGCTCTCTCATCTCAGCAAGTCTGAGGGACGAACATGCACACGCTTC